AAAGACTCACATGAACACATAAAGCATAATAACCCACTTGCCACCAAAACACGTCTTTTTGCTCTTTTAAATGCAAAGCTGCTGCAATTTTAGGGGCTGTTTTGGGTAAATTAAATATGATTTAAACCAAACAAGGACAAAAAAAACATTCTTTGGTTGAACTTTTGGAAGAAACCTTTGCTGTAAGACAACAAAACAACTGAAGCTCAGACCTAGAATGAGCTGAAAGAAGAGGAATAAAAACACACTTCATGTCCCACAACTTTTGTAGAAAGCAGAGGTTACTGGGAAGTTTAAAAACAAAGGTCATGCATGGTGATAATTGTACACACTTACTAACTAAAGGAAAAGAAACTAAAAGACAGAACTGTTGTCCAGAACCACGTGGCTGACTGAGCGAGCAGCAGCAGCAGATATTCATTACTCCCATCCTCTCATGTGTCGCTGCTGCTCCGTTCTTGTCTGCGTTCTCGGTAAATAGACTGCAGCCTGGAGCTTCCCTCCTGTCTAATTAAAGAGAAATGTGATGTTGGATGTCCTCTCTTTGACCTCCTACCTTGCTAGTTTTACTGCAAACAGTATATCAACGCCTTATAGACTTTCTTCTGCCTCCTCTGAAATTTTGTGCCGCCCCGCTTTCAAGTAACTGCACTTTAATCCTAATGCATTGCATTCACTTTACTGACCTTCAGAGGAGTTTTTATTTTTATTTTTTTTGGAGAGCTTTGAGGGGAGGGGAAAAATAACACTATTAAATAAAAGCTTTGGAAAACAATTTATTTAGAAGAATTTGGTAACCATTGTTGTTGTTTTTCTTTTGTTTTTTACACTTTTCCCATCTTAACTTCCAGCCAAAGTCTTTGAAACAAGATACAGAATAGATTCAAAGAGCAACAGAAGGTTGGAGATGAGATGTAATTATGAACAAGGTGTGAGTCAGCCGCTCTCATTATCCCTCCTGCCAGTAAACAAGTCTGCTCAGCCTCCAAACTGCTACTACACAAGTCACTACTTCTGCTCCTCCATTGTCGCTGTCCTGTCTGATCATCAGTCACTCAGCATCTGATTCACAGGCTCAATTATGTGCCGGAGAGCAAAGACGAAGTCGTCTGACCTGAAGCATTTTTTTTGGGGGGGGGGGAAGAAATAATTACCTGAAGTTCATCATTTAATGCCTCTGAAGTGTGCTTTCATCT